TCGAGAGACATCCCAATAAGACCGCAGGGTTAGGCGACAGATTGAAGCAGGTAGGACGAGCGAACTTCGAGCAGCAACTGACTGACAACAAGCAGACAAAGAAAAAAGCGGCTGCAAGGCGCGCCCTTCCGGATCTCGATGCTTATCAGCGTGTAGCTCGCGCGCTGCTGTGGGTCACGTGACAGGGGTGACAAGAGAGGAGGGAGGGGGCGAGGTCAAGGCGCTGGGACCACCGGGACAGCCCCTCTGCCTCTCCCCAGGCATTCCAGGGAGATGCGTTTTTGTAGTCCTGAAGAACAAACGCGCGCGCGCGCGCGCTTGAACTTTGGAAATGGCGGCGGGGCTGCCAGAAGCTCGGCTTGCGCCCGAGCGAAGAAAGAACTCAGCGCAAGCTCGTAGTTTGACTGCTGCAACGGCGGGCGTGCTCTCGCAATGCTCGATGTTCTTGCAGCCGCGTGTACGCGTGCTACTTTCGCTGCGTCTTTAATTAAAGTGAAACGGAGTCTAGACGTATGCATTCTTTCACGCGGTCGCGTCTTCTGCGAGAGAGATTCGAGCTGAATAAGTAAATTGAGGCAACAAAGATGGACAAAGTATTAAAGGTCTGTCAAAAATATCGGCTCACCAACGTCGCGCGTTTACGTAAAAAAAAAAAAAAAAAAAGTGTTAGTTTTAGTTGCAGTATAATCGAAAATCAGCGCAATTGAAATATAAATATAATTACTTGCATTACGCGGACGATCTGAAATCGATGAACCGGCACTCCCAGCCTTCCGGAAAACATTGGCTGCCACGGCTGAAACGCTAGGCGTGCCCAAGCCGCCGATCTGTACGTTCAATATCAAACGGGCTCCGGAGAGCCGTTTGATTAAACCGGTGCGGTTTGCAACATGGTCGCCGGTTTGAGCAAACGTGCGACAACTTTGCCCGAACGAGTCGCCCATTTGCCCAGACGAGCGACCCGTTTGCCAAATAGGTGACCGTTATGGCTCATACGGGGGACCCCTTTGAGCCATACGGGCGACCCCTTTGACAAACTGGTGACCAGTATGGTTAAACGGTTACCGGTATGGACCCGTTTATTTTCATATGGGCGCCAAATGGTTTTTTTCAGTAGGGAACCCACTCTCAGCCGATAATAATTGCACATACCATTCGAAATTATAAATGCATGGTGCTGGTGTTGTCTCATTTTACTTTTATATATATTACAGCGGGCGATAAGTGCAAAAAGTAAATGGCTAGTTTCTTGTTTGTCTTTTCATGGCGTGCTGTGGAGATAAACAATACGAGGAGGCTGAATCTCGCCCCATCAGGGGGTGTAAGCGCTGGTCTGGAGCAAATTTAATCGACTGCTCTGAGAAGGGAGCACCTCTTTCAGTCTTTCTGCAGGACAATAAACGCTTTCTGAACAACCCCTGGCTGCCGAGGTGTTGTCGTGCAGCAATGCATAACACTAGCCTAGATAATGTATTTGTGCGAAAACCCCAAGGCAAACCCAATGACAGAGTGTTAACTTTGAGACAACCCTTTTTTTTCTATTTGAGCATAAAATAAGTGAGGTTACAACAGTCGTTCCTTGCCAAGCTAAACCCGTCAAAAGGTTGATTTGTGTAAAGATGATCTCGAAGGACTACATATTTTTCAGGAATCGTTTCTTGAATTGTTGAAAACTTTAACTTTTTATGAACAAAAAATGCGCGCATCAATTTACTGTAGTGAGCTAAAGGACGCCAGCACACATGGAAGCTACAAATAGAGTTCAGCACTTTGGAGCGTTTTAGACGTAGAATTTTTTCTTAATTTCTGTCTTATACAACAATGATTCTTAACTGCAGTTTGTTATCTTATAAAACTGACCTGAGCTGTGCAAGCGGAAGGCCAAATCAACATGTGCCAAAAAGGTAGAAGGACAGAACAACTGCCGATTGAATTTTTTATGTCGGTCACAAACGCTCCCACGACAGCCGGCATGGGCCCGTGGCTGCAGAAATTGCGGCCGCATTCCTTTGCAGCACTTAGCAACTCTTTGTGGTTATCAAATGTCTGACCTTTACATGTCATTTTATTTGTCACAAGCAGGTATTTTTTAGGAGTGCAAGCATGCGTGTGCAGCATTTACCGTATGGGGCTCGGCTGACAAGTGATAAGGCGATAATCATCATGTCTAGGTCGCTAAGCAAATAAAATTCATCAATTGATATTTTATTGATAGGCTTTAAGAGCCGTGTTAAAAAACCCAGTATTGACTGAAATTACAATTAGTGTTAAAATGAAATGAACAATTCTTCCAGAAATGTAGCAGTTTGTTAGATCTTTCTTAATCAGTCGCCAGTTTTCGCAGCACAATTTTAAGATTTTAATGGCCAACTTCTGGGGGCATTCAGTGGAAAATGTGTTCAGAAGAAAATTAAAATTCCCAATAATTTTTGTTTATCATTCAATGGTACTTACAGTCCCGGGTATTGGGAAACATTACGATACATCGTAAAGAAAAGAAAATTTACTAATTTGGTGAACATAATCCATACGACCCAATGCACAAAAGTTGTGGAGCCCAGAAAGAAAGCTTTGTATGCGTCGTAAAATTTAATTACAGTTTACATAAATTTTATGACTGTCATATAAAACATTGCCGTGGAACATTGCGATATTTGTGTATGTTCAGGAAAATTTAAATTTAGAGCGTGCGCCATGGCATAGATGTCCAAGGTTGGGGATTGCTCAGAAGGGGAGCCGTAAGCCCTCACCACAATTGCACCGACGACGCAAATGACGACGTAATTCAAACCATTACGCCCGGAACTTTGTTTTATAACATCTATAACGTCCAAAGTTTCATTACATAAAGGCTTACCTTATTCATTACAATTCCCAAATATTGGTTGAGATTACTTCCTTTCTGTTTTTGAAGAGCATCGTCGTAGAGTATTCTCGTTTCAATCAAAACTGTTTGTCGCAAGCGTTGTCTTCCCTCTAATATAAAATTTTAAATTGCAAAGTTGTAATAACAAGCTTGATTGTAATCATTTTATTTTTATTTTTAATAAACCTTACGTGTTCCTGTACATCTAAACAATTATTGGGGGATCCACAGTGTATTATAATAAAAATCAAGATTCTACTCCGGTATGACGAAAAACAAAAAACGCCTAGCTTGGTAGAAGTATAGGAAGCATAGGGGCCTAACTTATGCCTTGTAAGGTTTCGCTCTATGGCGCTTGTCTGTGGCAAAGTACTTTGCCTGACTATAGCGCTAGTTCGGCGATCCTGGGGTATGTCAAGGTTTGACTTCTCTCTGGACCGCCACAAGAGTGAAAATGTAAGTAATACACTTGAGTCATAACTGCAAAATGACTCTTAATTGACGAATTTAGAAGAGTGCCACCGATTGACCTTTCTCTTATGAGCCACTGGAGTGCTGAATTAGTCTGGCACTTTTGCGGCGATTGGGCCCCAAAAATGGCCAGACGAACTGTGAAGAGATAGAGCCCAATTTTGACAATTGCTTAGCTATCTAGGGCCAAAGGTCACAAATAATATCCGAACAACCAGGAAGAAAGCTTAACTTGTTTGGTTATTTTGGCCTACAGCGGCCAGACGACCGCATAACTTTCGAGAAGTGAAACCTCACTTTGGAAGTTATTTGGATATTTTGGCCCAACGTTGCTAGATGAGAGTTGAATAACGTGGCAGTGAGCATAACTCTGGCACTTAACTGGTGATTTTGGACCAAAGATTTCAGATGACATCCAAACAACCACAGTGTGAATCTTAACTATGGCATTTTTTTGGTGAATTAGGGCCAAGATGCTGACTGTTCCTGAAAAATGGTAACGTTTAGCTCGAGTTTGGCTAGCTCAGCTTCTCAAGGCCTTTAACAATCAGACAGTAGTTCAATCTGTGCCTAGACCTATGCATATTTTTGTTATTCCGGATTTGATTTTGGAAATAAAGTGTCGGTTGAAAAGCAAAGAACTAATATTACGTTAAAAAAATTTCGTACAGTTTACACAGTCCTGACCCACAGGCCTTAAAGAAACAAAAAAAATCGTACTTGTGTTTTTTAAAACTTCAGTGAAGAAGTGAATACACTTCGCAATGCCAAAAGCATAAATTGTGACTTATAAATATTCAGAACGATGACTCCCATACTGCACCGCACAAACGGAAGATGACTTTACATACTGGAATTAAACGTAAAGCAAACGGTCTCATAGCGTTCCTTGTGAAGCATAAGCTCCGTTTTTTAATAACATGTTCGGCATAGCATGAGCATAAGAACTCGAGACATTGTTATTGAACTTTGCGATTGAAAATGCGCCGAATAAACAATATCGTAATTATCTATACTGTAGAGTTAAAAGCAAATATTTTAATCAATGTTCGTAATAATTTTTAGGTTGCTATAAATATTAATTATTTCTAATCCTGCTTAAGATTCCGTGCAAAGTTTGTGCGTTATCTCACGTCAATGCTCAATTAAAATTGTTTCAATTTTACTCACCTCTCTGGATATCGCCCCAAAGTTGTTGTTGTGTTACGTTTGTATAATCAACTGTAAAATAAAACCAAAATTGCATTTGTCTGACGAGTCATTTTCTGCCTTATGTTTTGTTCAGAACGGAATGAAAACAAAGTAGCATGTTTCCGCTTGGTAGGAACATTTCACTACAAAAATATTTAACATCTTGCAATCATTTACTCGATTTACAAAATATATTAATATCGTTATATATTTTATATGGAATCATAATACCAAAGTCAGGTTCACGTAAACAAAAATTTAAGTATAGAACATTCGAACGATGATTGACCTGAGTTGTAAGCTTTCGGAACATAGGATTCGACAACAAGAAGAAATTACTGCGCGGCACCGAAGAGTTCACACAATAAACAAACATTATATTTATCTTGATAATATTCGGATCTTTAAAAAAAACAATCAGGGCTTTGTTCACCTGGTAGAAAACATTGCGCCTAATTCTTGTAGCTAACATTTATGAATAGAGTGTGAAGTGGGTCTTACCATAATCAGCATACATTGGGATGGACGTATCATTAAACGTTGATATCAAGTGAGCAACGATTCCGTCTTTTGATCGGGTATTAGATAATACTGGCTCGATTGATAAGGTGTCAGTGAGTATACCCATCTGCAAAGGAAAATCAAGAATAAAACATATTAAAACATTTATGGCATGCAGTGTAATAACGTCTTACTAGCAAATTTCATGAGTAATGACACGAGCATATCATACCACTTGGACATATCCATTCGATTCTTGGACCACAAGAGAGGAGCCGTATTTTCTGTCCTGGTACAAATTGTCTTCAATTTCCTTGACATTCATCTGGCAAAAACGCGAGAGTATTAATTGCAGCGCTGCAGACGCCATTAGAAACAATCTTTTATTAACTAATAACCGCATCATGAGCTATTTTGATATCAAATATAGCCCAAATAGATTTCGTTATAAGTGTACGGAAGGCTATATAAGTCTACGGAAGGCTTACGATATCGTTATAAGTGTACGGAAGGCTATATGTACGAATCGAATTTTATAAAAATTATCGCCTCTAAATATTTGGTCGCTACATATATATTTCAAAAAAGTCCTGTTTGAATTTAAAATATAATATAAACACTGACAGAGAAATCCTATTAACATGAATGAGCGCGCACAGCTTGCACCCTTCAGGAGACGTCACTCCCATTGTCTTTAAAATCTCAGACAACGAACTAAACCATTACTTATCAATCGTCATTCTCCGTTCAGCAACACGGTGATCGTATTTCTGCGACACGGCGAAAGCCATCTGTACAAGCAGCTGTGGTGATCAGAGATCAAATCTTAAGTTTCTACCATCAAATTTTGATTTTTGTACAGGCTGAAGGGGCAGTGCTATATGGTATCGACATTAATGCCGCAAAAGCCAGCAGATGGTTGTACAGATCATTCCAATAATGTCCTTCTCCCCGTAGAGTTATTTTGTCTAATGGAAGGTTGCAAGCCTTCTTAGCATTTGCAGAAACTCTGTTGTTCGAAATATCTAATAACTCCTCTGTATTTAAGGTCGAGTAACCCGGAACTAATTGCCCGTGAGTTAAGTGCTGGAAAATTGTACATAACCGTATCCCCCCAAGAACATGACCTGGGTGGAAATTGTATTTTCCGTGAACGCCAATGTTTCTTTTATGTGCAAAATATAATCTCGGACGCCTTATGAAATTGGAGGGTGGCGCCAACGAATTCTCATGAAGAAACATAGGTATATGTAACGAATGACATTCATAACGTGAAATCGCCAAATACAGAGAAGCATAGAGCGAGGAGGGGAGTTGTACCAGGTTAAGTGTGTCATTGACAGTTTCACCGACTGCATATAACGCCGTAACCCGAGTTTATTTTTACATATAAACCCATTGGATGCATGAGCACTTACCGAACTGCTGGGGTAGTTCACATCATCCGCCATGGAGAAAACAATGTTTTCCGAAAACAATTTGCTCTTCTTTAAGCTCAGAGTCAGCCCATCTCGAATATGGAGCATCTTCTCCCCATTTGCACCCCTCGCTTCGAGAATCCTTGGGAAAACAAACTCCTCTAGAGGTGGTTCTGCGAGTAGCGGTTTCGTCCTAGTTAGCGATGTTCAACCTTGAACCTCAAGGCTGGAATGATATCTCATTTTTTTAACCTGTGGCTAACTTCCAAATATTTTGTCTCCTAAATGTATGCTTCCCAGCTGCTACAAATAAAATTGTACGTCTCAAAAACAATTGAAATACAATTTCAAATTGATGTTTAGATAATCGATATCAGATAATAGATATCCATCACCAGGCCCCTAACGGACAAATTTAGCTTTAAAAGTTTGTAAACGTTTAATCTATTAGAACTCCAACCTCGACAGGTTTACGAAATCATTAGTCATAATGACTTGAAAACAAACAAAATAGAATTGCTCGAAGCAAACTTTTAGACTCAATTAGTAATCATTACTTAATGAAAAAGACTGAATGAACAAAAGTAAAACAGATTTTTTCACAGTTTATCCCTCATTTTGATCGTGATCACAATTTGTGCAAATATATAAATCTCGACGAAATTTCACGCCACAAAAAACAACGTCCAAGTATTCCCAAGTTTTCGATTAACTCCTGCTTCTAAGAGGCGGGCGGAAAGCACTGTAGAAATATTTCGTTTCACTTTAATCAATAAAGGGTGCCTTTTCTATTTCTGGTTTACATAAATCGCTACCTAATACTCTAACAAATTCAGTACAAGAGGTAAATAAATATAAAGCTTTGAGGTGAATGTAGTATCGGAGGAAATTACGTCCAAAATTAGCAAAGTGCTTGAGATTTATTCACAAACATTGAAATAAAACTGAAGCTTTTTTTATTTAAAGCATATACAAGATCACTTTCATGGTTTACCACAATGAAAAGGCTTAAGATCATTGAGTACAAATATGTTATTAGGAGCAGATAGTCCTCTTAAAACAGAGTGCCTCCAAGGACAAACATTAGGATGCACGTAAGCTGTAATTAAACCGTCGACATCGTATATTAAATTTATTCTATATCTGAACATCCACACTCATGTAACATTGGCACTCACCTCCAAAGCACGCTGTTAGCATTACTGTGAGTACAAACCACACGCCTTCAGACATTATGAAGCGAACAGCTGCTGCGAGTAAAATATTCTGCGATCTTTGCGGATATTTATACAGTTCTGAAATGTCTTAATAACCTGTGGAGTCTTTCCTTCATTAAAGTTGGAAAAGGCTACGCCACCTCAGAATTATTTAAATCTTGACGTACTCACTTATTGTTTTGTTTTTATTTTGCACTGGGATTTGCCTTCCTGCGTCATATGTCTGCAGAGGGAAATGCTGAAGATAGCCCCTTCCTTCTTATTTGCCCATATTAATCATAACACCAGAAAATTGTCGGCGCAAGGAACCTGCCTGCTTGTCACTGAAATGAATTTTCAATATAAAGATGCGACACGACGATAAGAAAATCAATCTTACACTGACGCAACGAGGCGCCAAACTACGTGCAAAACCACCGACCACATGCTTAAGGTCGCGGGATGCGGTTTTATGAATGACTCCGGTATGTTAAAGTGGCATAAGATTCTCCAAATGTACGCGCGGTTATCCTAAACTGTCAACAAAACGTCATATGTTTAAGTTCAACTGTCAGTTTGAGGCAGTACCAGGGAATATCGCTTCAACACAAGGTGCTTTCCGTGACATTAAATGCCCTTATCTCCGCTCCTCCAAGACGGCAAGGATATGGCTCTTCCAGTATTTATCTCCGTTTCCTTCCTCATTATCTTCATAAAATTGAAACTGGTTCTGCACGAATGCAATTATATATAATGCATTTGTTTAACGTTTTCAAGAAAGATCTCATTCTGAAAAAAGGATAACTTAAGCAAGGTTATGGCGAGTAGTTCCATTAAAGTTAATTTTGTTTTGAATTCTTAATTCAGTTTTTCTTACATTGGCTGACTGGCAGTGGTTCAGCCTTCACCGAAAAAAACATTTAATTTTCTTTCAAAAGAAAGACCAAATCTACGACACTTAAATATTGCTCTAGGGACAAAAATATTACTCGTTAAAACTTCTTACCATCGTGACGTTGCTCACCTTTTTTTAAAGGTTTAGACTACATAAATTATTTATGTTTGGTTGCGCGAACTGCCATATGAACGTTTTACTTTGAATCAGGACACATATCAATCCACTTTTTACATAAATCGTGCAACTAAAAACAAATTACACTAACTTTATATAAATCGTGAGAAGTTGCTATCGGAATGGCTCGCAATGCACTACATTATTAACGGGCTGCTGCATATTTGCTGTGTAAATATGTGTCAGAATTACTTTGACATTACAGATATTGTTTATTAGCTGCACCAAATTATAAACAAAGAGATATGAATTTATACACATTTACTTTTTCGGAGTAGATTGCCTGACATGCCGACCACTAGAAACGACGTTGTTTCTGCAATTACGCGGGTAATTAACGAATATATTTTGATAACTGTTTATTTAAGGCCCTTAGACGGAATATTGCAGGTACAAAAATGTTGTCCCAGCTTCAGGTTGTATGCTGCAACCTCAAGCCGTAATAACCTTGTAAGCATTTAGGCGCCACTGGGCAAATTGCTTCAGTTGTTTACGTTTCTTTAAGCGTGAACAAATTTAGACAAAAGATAAAGTCCCTACCTCTCCTTGCGTAGCGTCAGAGTAACGATGTTACATGTGATGTGGGTGCCAGTATTCGGTGTAATCCGTAAATCTTGGCATTGATGTTGGCGCTCTCTGTCAGCGCCGACTGTACTGTGTTTTCTTGGGCAGAACCTGCAGAACCTTGGGCAGAACCTGCTATTGGCGCAATTTTGTCGAACAGCTTTTATCATATCGGTAACAACGCTAGGGACGCAACATGGTGCCTGCGTGATGAGGCGACGAATACAAAATGTAAGGCCAACAGCAGGCGCCAAACGTTAAACCTTACACAAAACGCCAAAAAAAAAACGATAAACATACTCCGATAGTCGTTATTCTAATGCTACGCTAGAGCAGAAATATTGACATCGCTGTCACTGTTTTCTACATTATTTTCAGGTTTAAGGAAGCCTGTGGAACTAATATAGTTTGGCCGGTAGCGCTCAAAAGGTTGTGTTTATTACCCCTTGCGGTTAGAGTTTATAGCCTGGAGCTTGGGCAATAATTTTGTAAATGCAATATGCTCCCTAAAATTAGTTATTAAAAAGTAGATTAAAATGTATAGGCTCATTAGCCATTTTTTGACAGGAACAACTTGTTTCTGGTCGTCGACAAGTCGGGCAAACTAATAAAAAATAAAGGTGTCCTAACGCCACTCTTTTTTTTTTCAGAAATTGGGGGCGGCTGAAAAAACACGGTGTATATTATCCACAGATGTAGAAGTTACTAAAAAAAGTAGTGAAGTTAAGCTACTGAATATTGACGTCAAAAGTACTTTGAGTAGAGTAGAAACTACTCAAATAGAAAGTACTTGAGAAAATTACTAATTACCATCAAAGTAGCGAATCACTTTTGAAGTTACTTTTGAAGTTACTTTTATATGTTTTTGTGCTAAAAAAAAGTACAGAGGTTTTGATCTGTTAGCCAAGTTGTGCTAGCCAAATATGAATCGGCTTGTTTTTTTTTAACAGAAATGCTTTGATAGCTGGTTCTGCTGTTGCGTGCTAATTGTTTTATACTCTTTTGTTTGTTTGGTCAATGGTGTACTGCAAATGTGTAACTTCTACTTTTAGGTTTAGCCATGTCTCAGGTTAATTTTTTAGACAGTGTTTTCTTGTTTACAGTGTTGCTTAAATTAACTCTAAAAGTACTTGAAGTAAAGTACAAAGTAAATCAGAGGTTACGTACTTCAAGTAAAGTATTAAGTACACCGGGTGTAATGTACTTGGAGTAACATATATATTAAAATATATTTCAAAGTTATGCAAGCACTTTTAGAACGATCTTTCGTGATGCCCTTCCATTCCCTATACAGTGCTTTTTTAACTGATATGCTTTGCTCCAGGGGCAATCGGAGGTGCATCAGTTTTTTACGGAAATGACGGCAAATATCGCATAAGGTCAAGTCGCCACAGGGTTGTTGTTTTACTCCCGCTGACGAGCTATTTGGCATAATCAACATATAAGGCACTTATTTGTGTCGGTCTTCTAGAAGCCTTTACTTCACTCAGTGAAATGACAAGACGACGTCGCGAAACAGAGCGTTTTTACACGACCATATGCCATTTTTCGTTTTGAAATTCGGGGATTGTACATTATAGTCGGGAGTTTTACTTTCCTCGAAAAGTGCAAGTACTTCTTCAGAGAAGTAAAGTACAAGTTTTCTAAACAGTAGTGCTTTAAGTATCACGTATATAGAGTAATTTTTTATATAAAAATGTTTGGGGAATTATTAAGGTTTCTCGAACGATCTTTGAATCTTTGAAGACCTGCATAATCTGAGTTTTGCGAAAAAAGGCAAGGCAAAAAGGTCATATTGGCATTGCCCTTTAACACGCAATTCTTCGAGTACAGCGGAAATTACGGCAGGTACTGCATTTTGTTGTCTCCCTTGAGTGAGGATGCAGTGTGTACACCTCCTGTAGTGGGCGAAAGTTTCTACGTTGTGGAGATTCGGGGACCAGCCCTTTCTTCAAATGGGACGTCTCCTTGAATTTCGGGAAACAGAAAAACGCCAGTCTTGAGCCCAAATCTCGCAGTCTCTCGGCCTCTTTGCGTCGTGTCTATTCGCTACCCACGCCTCGTAGCAGTGCGGTTGCAGGGGGGGGGGGGGTCCGGAATATCCACACCATTTCCCCGTCCCATTCCTACGCCGTATGCTTTTCCCTATTTCCAAATATCAGCCTACCTTTCAACAACTTATATATTTGTGCAGTAATGTTTGTTGATTGGCAACCATATACTAAAATTCGAAAGTAATTTGTAATTTAAATAGGAGTTACTCCGAAAAAGTAATTAAAGTAAACTACTAATTACCGAAATAAAAGTGTAATTGAAAGTTACTAAACTACTCAAAAAGCAGCTTAACAACAGTAAGTTGAGTAGAGTGGTTGAAGTATGTACAAGTCTGGTATTATTTCACATTTAGACTTCTAATTGGGGTCTAGAGGGGGAGAGAATAATCTCGATTAATAAAAGAACAGAAGCTGTCTTCGTCCGGAGCCACTGCCCTGCGCCGAAGAAACAGACGCCCTGTCACTCCAAAATCCATGGCCATTCAGCTTGAGGTTGACTCGTGCCTTAGTTACGCTGATCCTTTCCGCGGACCCCTCCCCGCCAGTTATCCCCTCTTTTAAGGCATCATGTTTGACAGATGACTCGATTTTCTTGTCCAGCTTTTTCGGGGAAGCCTCCTTAAGTATAAGAATATCAAATCTTTCTTCGAGCTCACCGATGTCGGTTGGATCTGTGGCCAGCAGGACGCCAATGTCGTTGAAGATCTTTGTTGTGGCGGCTCGCAGGGTAGTCCTCCTTCGCATCACGCAGTCGACCCCTCTTGACTCGTAGTAGGCATGATCCGACCGTTGATTATTGGGTTTCGGCACCAAAATCTGTAATAATTACTACCTTTCTTTGTTGTTTTTCTACCAGACTATGTCTAACTATCTTCGGCTCGTCGTACGTCAGGAAAGCACACTCAGACGCATCGTTTCGGCTTGGACTCACAGGGAAGACTCCTTCATTCTCTCAAACTTCAACAAGAATACTGCCGGAAAGGGAAAGGGAAACCACCGAAGAGGCGAGCGCCCGAAGCAGCTCAAGGCCATCCGCGGTAGTGCTGGCGACGAGGAGGCACCTCTTGAGCAAAAAGGAGCCCGCCACGGGGTCTTTGGTGACCACCAAGACGGGGGGGGGGGGGGGGGGGGAACGAGGCACCACGTCGGGGGAAGGGGCGTCACACAAACTAACCAAAACACGCTCGCGGACGGGGGGAAAAGTCAGCAAAAATACAACACACCCATTGAAACATCCACCAGACCGGTTTGGTGTGGGCTAGTGTTTTCTGGTGTAAACATCAGACCGGAATGGTGTGTTCTGGTGCGCACATCAAACCCGCCTGACTTCTTCCGGTGTGCCCACTA